GGGACGATCGCTAACGCCAGGTGGACACATGGAAGCCCAGCACCGCTGTAAGGGAGGGTGGGACGATCGCTAACGCCAGGTGACTGAGGAGGAAATGGAAGTACAAAGGATCAGCAGCGTCTTCCAGCTCACACAGCTTAGGAGTGGTTTAGAGCCAGGCTACCTGGATTCTAGCAGCTCTGAGTTCAAATCCTGGCTCCTGTGGGGTCTGTATGACCCATGTAACAGGGTGGAGATGGGCTGCTGTGAGACCCTGTTGTGGCAGCTTCAGTGTGTGGAGGGTGCTCTCCAGGCAAGCCCAGGCCCCAGGATGATGACAAGGGACCACGCCCTGAGCTTGGGGCTGTCAGAGACACACACAGGCCTGTGAGGGGAAGCTGAGTGGGACTTCAGGGCTCTTGGGCTGGGCTCCAGGTCTGTGATCCAAGTGCCTGACAGCTACTATCCTAAATCCCCCATGCAGACAGGTGGGATGTGGGTAGGGGGACTCCACACTTAAACTGCTTAAGTCCAACCTCCTGGTCAGGGACACCAAGGGGCTGAGAGTGGTCAGGTTCTTGTGTTCTCTTTTCCTGAAAGCATCCCGTCCTCCCATCCAACTCCTCCGTGTCCCCTCCTTCAGGAAGTGTTCCTTGATCCCCATGCTGGGCCAGGGGCTCCCTCTGGGCTCTCATGACTTCCTGGGCTCCTCGAGCTCAGCCTTGTCCACTCTAGGTCATCACTCTCTGGGGGTCAGTGTGGCAGGGTCTGTGTCCCCAGTATTGCCCAGCCCAGTCCAATGCTGAAGCAGTGAGACAGCTCGCTCCCGGGGGTGCTCAGATGGGAAAGCCTGAGGGAAAACGTTCCTGAGAAAATTCCATTTTCTTTCTACTCCGCTTTTCCACACACTTTTGGAAGCCCCTCCTGTGTGTCTCCAGGAGGGTTCGCATCAAGTCGTGTTGGAAGTCACTGTTTCCTTCTTAACCACTGAGCTACCGTACCCAGCTTTGGCACTCATTGTATGGTGGGAGAGTTGGGAAGGGGGGCTTTGCTAACCACAAGGTTGGCCATTCAAACCCGCCAGCCGCTCCGTGGGAGAAAGATGACGCTTTCTAGCCTATAAAGGTTTACAGCCTCAGAAACTCTTAATGAGAGTTGCCCGAGTCAAAAAAGTCTGCGGGGATAGGAGCGGAGGCCTCCGGGACCATCAACGGAGAACAGCCGAGAGCGGGACCCTACCCAGAAAAACAGAGATGCCTAAGATGGAGACAGAGATGATGACGTGGAGTGATGAAGCGACTGGGGACTTTGGACTCAGAGAGGGAAAGGGACTGTGGGCCGAAAACTGGGGGGAAGAGGGGCAAGTGTAGGGGGCGGGTTTCTGGGATATACCCTTTGGGTGGTTGAGGATGCGTGGAGGGGATTGGAACCATGGCAGTGAGATGATATACGATGGAATGAATGTAAAACTAAAGTTCTCCCATGTAAACTATCATATAATTCACAATAAAACATTTAAAAAAAAAAAAAAATGTCTGAGGACAGTGGGTTGGGTGTGTTGTTTTTGGGTCATCAGAGGCGGCAGTGGTCCTCTCTCGCACTGCCCACTTACCTGCCTGCCTGTCTGTTGCAGAGCGTCCAGCAGAACGGTTCCATGTACATCCACGTCTACTTCACCAAGAGTGGCTTCCACCCAGACCCTCGGCAGAAGGCCCTGTACCGCCGGCTTGCCACAGTCCACATGTCCAGGAGTAAGTGTCTCCCCTAGACCTGTGGCCAGTGGGGCGGACACACAAGAAGGCCCTGGGGAAGGTAGGGGGCTCTGCGTAGAAAAAGCTGCAGAGGTGAGGGGCTAATGAGAAGGAGGACTGTGCTCTGGAAGGCAGGAGGATGACTGGCTTGTGCACAGGGCTTGAGAGACAGCATCACCCATAGAGGATGTACGGACCAAGGAAAGACTGAGCAAACGGTGGGGCTGAGCTCTGTCCACTCAGCTTGTGTGAACCTTCCCTGGAAGACGGGGCTCCCCGGTGACCCGTGTGAGGGTCCTGCATGGCTGTGTTATAAGCCCTCGGTCCCTTCCTCAATGGAGGCAAGGCAGTGAGGATGGTGCAGTGGGCAGTGGTCTTCTTCTGCTCCACATTCATTATAGCTAGCCTCCAGGTGATGCTGGGCATTCAGTGTGAGGGTTCATTGGGTGACTAACCCCTGGGACCCACCAGTGAAGTTCTGCCTCAGGACTTGGCATTTGTAACTTCTGACACAGCCTCATATTGAAACCTAGGTTCCCCACCTCGTGCTACCCCCCATTCCTATACCCCAGAGGCAGCACTTCCAAACTCGCGGAGCTGTTGCTAGCTCTAGTTTCTAAGCTGATGCCACAGAGTCTTGGTTTTCACCTTCTGCCTGTTTCGGTGACCCGGTGCTGTCTGCACAGAACCACCATCCATGGGGGCGTGGAAGGACACATCTCCTCTCACCTTCCTGTGGGCTCAGCAGGTCTCAGCCATGCCGAGTCTTTCTGTGAGCCCCTCTCCTGTTTCTGGTGTCTGGAGGCACTTCTTAGCTTCTTGGCATGAAGCCCCTCCCACATGGCATCTGTCTTCTGTGTGGCACTGTGTCTCTCGGGTCAGAAGTGATAAGGTTAGAACCCACTGTACATGGTATGATCTCAAGTGACTGAGGACATTTTGGTTATGTTAGGGAAGCGATGGCATTACATGGCAGGCAGTCCCAGATTGCAAACAGAATCCATTCCTAACTAAGTCTTTTTTTTTTTTTTTGTCTTTCTCTAATTATGTCTTTAAAACACTACCGGGGCTTCCAACTGGGTCTGCCCATGTGAAATCATGGCCAACAAGGCCTCACCAGAACAGACTCACCTTTTTTTCAGCTTTTTCCAGAAGAAGGGCACCGCATGCATTGCATAGCACCCAAATCTCTTGCCCTCTGGTTTTGAGCAGTGTGAAGCAACACTGGTCCAGTCAAAGATGGTAGTGCCCTGCTCAAAGATGGCGGCTAAAAATGCCACTTTCAATGTGGTGTTCTCCTCCAGCCCCACCAGTGATTCCAGCTCCTGAAAGGGCTCGCTATACCTCTCCTGGCTCTCATTCCAAAGCTGCCACCATAATTTTTCCCATCTCGGTATCATACCGAGTCTGTCAAATTGTAAAACTTGGAGTCTTATTTCTGTTTGGCCTCTTGGACCAAGACAGACCAGTTTAAAGGACAAATAGGAGTTGACTGAAAGCAGGATGTTTGTAACTTGGGAATTGCCTGTGGAAATATGGGAATTACTTTACACGGTTCCTGGGTGGTGGTGGTGGTGTTACGTGCCATTGAGTCGGTACTGACTCATAGCCACCTTATTCACAGTAGAACGAAACACTGCCCGATCCTGAACCAACCTCACTACTGTTGCCACGCTTGAGCCCATTGATGCTGCCACTTGGCCAGTCCATCTTGCTGGGGATCTTCCTCTTTTTCTCTGACCCTCCATTTTACCAAACATGATATCCCTCTCCAACGACTGGTCCCTCCTGACAATATGTCCGAAGGATGAGAGACCAAATTTGGCCATCTTGGCCTCCAGGGAGCACTCTGGCTGCACTTCTTCCAAAATGGATTTATTGGTTCTTTTGGCAGCCCATGGCACTTTCAGTATTCTCTTCCAACACCATAACTCAAAAGCATCAATTCTTCTATGGTCTTCCTTATTCACTGTCCAGCTTTCGCATGCATGTGAGGTTATTGAAAATACCATG